GAATGATATAAAGAAGCCCCCTCTAAATAGCCCCCTAATTACTATAAAAAATACAGAAATCACAAAAACAAGGGATCAAAAAGAGAACTGTCATTTGCAGCAAATACATTATCCATCTAGAAAATGCAAGAAAATAAACTGAAAGAGGACACTGAATCAGAAATTTGTTAAAAGAGGCTAGCTATAAGATTCATATTTTTTTAAAAGCATTTCTATATGCTAATAATAAGCAATTAGAAAAATCTGTGAGGAGAGGGTGGAGAAAAAAATCCCGGTGATAATCAAAATACTTAAAATACCAGTAATAAACCTACTATTAATAAGAATGTGGAAAACATAACAACAAAAACTTCATTTCAGTTCATTAAGAAACACCAAAATAAGGCCGGGCGCTGTGGCTCACGCCTGTAATCCTAGCTCTTGGGAGGCCGAGGCGGGCGGATTGCTCAAGGTCAGGAGTTCAAAACCAGCCTGAGCAAGAGCGAGACCCCGTCTCTACCATAAATAGAAAGAAATTAATTGGCCAACTGATATATATATATAAAATTAGCCGGGCATAGTGGCGCATGCCTGTAGTCCCAGCTACTTGGGAGGCTGAGGCAGCAGGATTGCTTGAGCCCAGGAGTTTGAGGTTGCTGTGAGCTAGGCTGACACCACGGCACTCACTCTAGCCTGGACAACAAAGCGAGACTCTGTCTCAAAAAAAAAAAAAGAAACACCAAAATAGAGGCTTACCTGATTTCTAGATGGGAAGAAATGACATTATCATAAATTAATACATAAGTTCAATAGGATTTTTATGGAACCCAGGAAGGCAATTCTAAAGTAGACAGGGAAAACAAAAGCCAAGGAAATTTTGGAAAGGAAAAACAACAGAGATGTGGGAATTTGTTCCACTGAATATCAAATCATATTATAAAGCTATAGTTATTGAACCATTGCTATCTTGGTTTAAAAAGAGAAAAACAACAATGTAACAAAGAGTACAGAAATAAACCTAATATATATAGTAATTTATTTTAGGATGAAAGTGTTCTGAAATCATGCAAAAGGTCAGATAATTCAATAGTACTTGGAAAACTGGTTATCTCTTTGACAAAAATGAATTTCAGATTATTTAAAATAAAACAAAAACCATAAAACTATTAGAGTTTTAAGACTTTTCTACACTCTCTACATCAGGGGAAAGAAGGGAATGGAAGGAAGCCTTCTTAAGACAAGATAAAACTTCCAACAAATACAAAAAAAGGCATATAGATTTTAACTACATTAAAACTTAAAACTTTCTATGTAACACTAGTTAAAAAATGAGATGGGTATAGGAAAAAAGAAAACCCCATACTACCAGTATCAGACAAAGAATCCCTAAAAAAACTAACAAAGTTCAAAAAGTAACTGAAAATTTGAAAGATGATGCAATAGGTAGTTCACAGAACCACATACAGTTGATCAATTATGAAAAGATAATCAACTTCATCCAGGAATCTACGAAACTTTTTAATGAGCCACTTGTCCAGTTATCAAACTGGTCAAAAAATAAATAAAGAAAAAAGTTATACCAAACGGTACTGGAGAAGTAATTGGGTTTTAATATGCTATTTATGGGAATATAAATAGATACCACTGGTTTGGCTGGCAATGTGACACTTATTTAAATATAAAAAATGTTCATAGTAATTTTATTTCTTGGTATGTATTTTATAAATACATGTGTACACTAAATATGTAAAATATATAAAAATACCCTCATTGCAATAATTGTTGTAACAGAAAAAAAATTAGTCAAATCTTTGGGTAAATTGTGCTATATCAACATGATTAAATACTACTACAGACATTATGAATGAGACAGAGATACAGCAATAGTTGTGCATTAAAATACATCCTATGAGATAGGTAAAATTCCTACTGTCACAAATCCCAAAGATTCTGATTTTATAAACCTAAAACTATGTTCAAGAATCTTCATTTTTAATAACTAGTGAATTTTGATAAAAGTGGTTACATTGGTTACTCTTTGAAAAACACTGGTCTATAACAGAAGACATATTAAGTAGAATTAAGAAGACATATTAAGTAGCAATTTCTAGAATGTTATATATACTATGTCCCCACTTAAGTTTTTTAAAAAACTATCTGTAGGTGCAAATGTGAATAATGTATGCATGAAAGTAAATTAATAGAAAAAAGTCCAGGAGGATATTTAAATTAACAGCAGTTATCTCTTGGAAAGAGAATAAGATCTTTGAGGATGGGGGAATGAAAGAGCACTTTCACAGCTGACTCTCTATATAAATTTTTATAGTATTTGATTTTAATTTTTGTGCCAAGAATATATTTATATATTACCTGTATAATATTAAAATAAAACATATGAAAAGCTAAAACACATTTTAATGTCATGAGTTAATATTCATTTCCTAAATGAAGACTCACTTTTGTAGAATTGCCATCTAAAAATGTGGCAAGCTAGTAGTATTTTTTAAATACCTTTTGCCTTCGGGCAAGACATTATTTTTTATTTCCCTTATACGTATGTGTGCCTCCATGCATCTTCTCTGCAGTACGAAAATAGTTCCCACTCAAGGAAACAGTCTATTTACAATACCAGGCCTCATTCTACTGACTAACTTATATTTAGAGAGAAAATTCCCAGAGATAAATTTTGGCATTATTACCACAAAAGCAACAGTTAAGCAGGGTTGACAAATGTAGGTAGCAAGGAACTGCTTCTTTTTGTGGTTTCTCGAGGGAAACCACCGATGGGTAGAACTACTGGGAGTCTCTTCCTTAAAGCCAAAGTTATATATGGGAGAATGAGACCCTGGTTGCCAGGGCTGGCTGGGAGGGCTGATGAATAAAGACTTCGAGTAGGAATTACTTCATGAATTTAAAGTTAAGAAGTTATCTAGTGACATGGAACATAACTAGAACATTATTTACTATTACAACATGCTATCATTGCATGAAATGAATTAGATTTACATAATTACAGATTTCTTGTTAACTAGGAAACAGTTACTATGTATTTTGCATTTTGATATCATATGATTAATTTTAAAAACCCCATACTATTAACATATGGCATGATAATGCATGAATCATGATAATTCATCTGACTGGTAATGATTTCAGCATATATTTTATTTTATTTCTAAATGCTTTACAGAATTAAGAGTAAAAACTAAATATTATTTCGTCCCCAAGTCAAATTCTGACTGTCCTGAGCAATATTTTATAGAATTAGTTTTACAGCTAAAAGAAGAAAATAATGTTTCAAATGCTTAATTTTACAGTCACAATGCTATTAAATGGTCTCTGACCCCCTAAGTCCACTGTTTGTTGTCCATTACTTTTTTACGTAACACTTCATTTTCACATAGGTTCATGCTTTTTGTTATTCAATTTACTACCAATCAAATGACTCTGATCAACAAATGAATAATTTTATCCGCTGCTTCAAAATTCCTACCCCCAAAATTGATTGATCCAGGAAGTCTTCTCTGACTTCAAAGATACTAAAAATGGCAGTTGTACCACTGTCAATTCAAATCATCTAAGAAAAATCTTCCTTTAGTATTTAAGCAACACCTATATATATGGCAAGCACATTTTAACTAAAACCCAGGACACAAGATCTGAATCAAATAATTTTTTCTAATTCAGAAGCTTTCATAAATATTCAATTTGAAAACATAAATAACAAGCTATATAACCAACTGCTTTTTTGACAAGATTAAAATTACACACAGTTAGGGTTGTCCTAGAAAATGACTAACAATGTTCTAAAAAAACTCTCAAAACTAAATCAAGAAATTTTCTGATTAATTACTAGCTTTGTTGAGGGAGGAAGACAGTTATTCTTCTGCTGCAGTTAACAACAACTCTAGCTAAATATTTTGTTGATATTTCACACAACTTTTCATGTTTATTTGCCAGAAGAGATGTGAGGCTACACTCTTTATATAAGAAGGAGGTCTGAAAAGATGACATATCTTCACCCTGAAGACACATAACTGGGTAAGATGACAAAGCTGGTGGCATCGACAGAGGATGCACATGCCAGGGAATGCTCCTTCCTGCCCCATCCTTGGGGCAGGAGACTAGCTATATGGCCAGCTAAGAAATAGAAACAGAACATCTTGACAGAAACATCCCTTTGGAGTTTTTTCACCAAATTAAATCAATTAATTGATGAACATATGATTTGCCTTATTCAGACTGAAGATACAGGATATATTTTAGAAGGAAAACACTATAGATAATTCCCAAAGGTAATAAAACCCTAATACAGGGTTAGTGCTCCAACATGTTATATGGGTGATACAGAAAAAGACAAAAACAAACAAAACAACCCCAAAACCATAGCTAAGAACAAAAGAATTCAAATATTTTGATAGTTTAAACTTTCCAAAATACCACATAAGGCATATTAATCTAGGTATAGAACACAGGATAAAATAACTGCATTAATACTTTCACGTGAACTACTGTGAAGTGATTCCAAAATAAAATAAAATCATAAAATAAAATACAGTACACTAAGGAAAAGAAATGCTTCATAATCTACCAAAGATACTCAAATTTTCTACTTTTTATTTTACATAAAAATGCATATTTTACAATGAATATATATGTCAATAAAACTGTATTAACAATAAGTTTCCATCCTCAAGCTTTTAGTAAACAGCCTAATACAATGTTGATTTGCCTTAGCTATATTGGCCAAAACTTGTCTTGCTATTAACAGTTTATAGACAAAATTTGATCCCTTAAATGTTTCAAAGAAATAATTAGGCATGCTATGAATTATGTATTATATACATATATTAAACATTGAATATATTATACATACATGTACATATACATATAATGTATTATATACATTAAAGAATATTTAAGAAATAATGACTATACAATATTTTGAAAGAAATTATATAAATGGCTTAGTACTTTTTATTGTATTTTACATTATTTTAAGTGTGCTCATGAACACATACCTGAGACAGAAGATCTTTCTGAGGCAAAGGTGGGGACCGTTCTTCATACATAGGAGGTGGTTTATGTGTGGGTGGAAGGTCGATCCTGCATTAAAAAGGTTAAAAACTGTGATTGCTACATTTACCAAAGGCAAAAAAAAAAAGGAACAGGGAAAAAAAAATTGAGGTTTTCATAAGTTTTTAAAAATTTTTTGCAGGAGAGCCCTCAGAGAAAATCATAAGTTTTGAGGGTATTTTCCTCATATTACATAAATAGATAATATTTATACTAGACATGTTTAATTCAGTTCTTATATTTCCATTAATCTATCAAAGACAGAAAATAAAACACTGGTTCTAAAAATTCCAATGTGTACAACAAATCTAATCAACTCATATTTAAAAAAGCAATTCAAATAGAAGAATTTTCTTGAAAATTATTATTAAGCAAGTGACCTACTACACGACCAATTTACTTAAGTATTGCATGTTTTTCCATTTTGACTGTGGCTACCAACACTTTAAAGATATTAAATATGTGTGATTACACTTTCCTCCAAAGTGTCATAAAAGTGATTTAAAGGACTGTATCATACAATGTTAATGAAAAAAGTTTATACTGTATTTTGAGAATACTTCCAAAACTAACTTTCAAAAGCCCCCTGGTCACTCTTGGAACATTCACCACACAAATTAAGATTTTTAACCTACACATCATTATAAATTTTGTCACCTGAAATAAACAAAAGGACCACTACATCCTTAGGGAATGCATTTGTCATTTTTGCCAAAAAGACAATCTATAAAAAACCCAGTATTTCATACTTTAAACATTGTTTAGTTATAACAAAAATAGATTAAAATATACCTTGTTGCTCTCTGTATTTTAGAAAATGATTTTATATATATATTTTCTCACACTTTTGAAGATCACAGATAACATTTTCAGTACTTGTGATTATTAAATCAAATAAATGATTATATATATTAAAGGATAAAGAGAATGAAAGCCATAGATGTTGAAGTAATAAATTCTCTGTTGTCTAGTAACATCTCAATATGGGCATAAGGTAATATTTTAAATAAATAGAATTCAAACAATAAATAAAATGGTTACATTAATTTATTAGTCTATTAGTAAATTGTTTTTGAAATTTAAAAAAAAAGCCTGAGATAATCTGGGAACTAAGATGAAGTTAATCACGTCAGTCACCACTGAAATATTAAGGCACTCCAGTCTCACAAGCATTACACTGAAAGAACATTTCACCGTCCTTTATTTACAATAATTGTTTCTTTTCATCAATGAAAATCACAGCAAATTTCTAGCTCCAAGGTGCCATAGGCCATCTAGGTAAAAATACTGAGGCTCATTAAGGTACAGTGAGTTGTTCATGGTTTTACCACTAATTAGATTGTGATACAGCTAAAACTGACACCCAAGTGTCTTTAGTTTAAAAAGACTAGTACTACAACTGTGTCAGATTAGAGAAGCAAACAAATCCACTAGCATTTATAAAGACAGAAGAAATACATTCTTCGAAGGTCAGGCTTATGTCTTTAAAAACATTAATAAACCATACAGGAAATAAAGCCATTTGTATAGAACTTCACAATTCTCAGCACAATCACATGAGGTAAGTAGGAAAAGTATTATATACATTTCACAGATGAAGCAACAAAGCTATTGATAGAATTAAAAGAATTGGAGACATTGGTCATTTGATTCTATAGCAAAGTGCTATTTCTGCTTTTTAAGTCTATCTCAACGATTAGACCAAAAATATTATTTTCTAAATAAAAAGATGCATATTTTATAATTCACCAAAACCAAGTATTTTTCTTCAAGGAAAAAGCTTTAAAACTCTATGTATTTAATAACTCTAGAGAGTTAAAAGAGATATCTATACATAAGACACACAAATAATCGGAAGAAGCAACTATTATAAAACTTCTAAGATATTTTTACATGTTTTTCAAATACTACTTCCTCATAGGCCTGCATTTCCAGTCAGAAGGCAAGACAATATAAAGTATTATTATGTTGCCATTTAGAAAGATATCGTAAAGGTATCTAATTTGTCCCCAGCAGGCTCTTGACACTGTTCAATTTACCAAGATGTAGTTTGATATGTTCCAATACCAGGGTCATCTAACAAAAGCTTATCATTATCCTTACTTCTATCCCTTATACACTTCACATATGAGTAGCTGTAATGGGAGGGATAAAGATTGATACATACTGAATATTCCCAGTTAAACAGAGGCAGAAAAAGTTACCTACACTTTGTCAAGATAGGATGGTCTCTTTTTACGAGGAGTCAGCAACACAGTCACAAAGATAGCAATGATGAAAAGGGCAAGGACAGCTCCAATTACAGCTCCAGCTACGGCTATGGAAGAGGTCTGCTTAAATGGAACATCTGTAAAGTAATAAAAATTAGGTTTTTTAAACAACTTTTAAAAAGAGTTCCTAAAATTGCATACCTTAATTTCTACATTGGGCAAAGACTATTTAATTGAAGTATGTTACTCAATAGCCAGCTTAAAGACACCAAGTTTGATTCGTTAGTTTTAGTAGCATTATGCTAACATCCTTCTTTCTTACTTATATTAGTTAGTACCCCAGGTTTGTTTTTTTAAAATTATGTAAATAACCCCAGTCAGACATGAACAATGAATCTATTCTCTATGGACGAAGAATGTCTGGAGAAGAAAAGGAGAAATGGAGAAGAAAATGGAGAAAAAGATGTAAATAATTTCTGTTCTTAATCTAAAAGATGGTTAAAAAAATCAGCATTCTCTAATAGAAATGATCCATAAATACATTTACTGCTTTTATTCTGATAAAATAAAAAATTCTATTAATGAAAACAAAAACCTTCAAGGGGAAAAACAAATCCCGGATCAAATAAATATCAAAGAGTGACACTGAACATTGTTAACACTTTAATATTTTAAAAGAAAAATATTAAAATAGGTCTTGGACAAAGGTTCCCTTAATTCATGCACATTTAATACAACGTACACCTAAAATAACTTCTCTACTACAAAATTAAATAGAAACCCTTTCCTATTTCCTGGCTATAGACACTCTATATCATTTCTGAATACTAATTTCTCTTTCCCAGACTGTAACCACAAACTTTGTAAGAAAGAATTTAAAAAACATATTAAGCAATTAGCATTTCACATTTTTCTAGATAATTGAGTCCCTCTATTTTATAACTCCCAAGTGAGAAAGTCTACTGAAATTATTATAATTAACTATATATTTTCAAATATATGTATTAAGGGATACGGCAAAGCTATCAAGCCTCTGTATAAGTATTGATAATTTCAGATATCTTAAATCTAATAACTAAATTTTGTGGGGTGATTAATAAGTCCTAATGTTCCTTCATATACATGATCTTGTTTTATCTTTCTAACCAATAAGAAAGATATTAAAGATAACATTCTATAAATAAAGGTACTGCTGTTCTAAAGTTAAATAATCTGCCTAAGACCATTCAATTAATGAATAATAGAGAACGCAGAGTAAAATAAAGTTAGGTTTGGGTAGAGTAGAAGCCTCCACTCTACGCCTTGGAAAAGAAAAATGTATTTTTTAACATCTAATGTACATTCACTATTTGGGTCCCCCAGTATGTAACTAAGAGATCTTAGTTTTCACTTAAATTGACATATTCACATATACTCATAAGTAACTGCAGTAATCGTTGAAATCTAGACACAGCAAATGCATGGAATTAAAGCACTGGTAGTTTTGAAATATGTTTCACCTACTTACCATCACAGCATTTCTGTATAATACATATTAGAAGTATTTCACAACTGTTTTTATTAAAATGTGGGTCACATGGTGTTTTTAAATTGGTAAAAAGAATGTTTTACTTTCTTCCCAAATATAAAAATGTCATCAGCAAACCAACAATGCTCGGTTGACTTATCAATGGGGCATTCTATTAGCATTATTCTAGATTAAAATTCTTACATCAGTAAGCACAAATCACCCAGTTGGATAACTTTTCTAACAATGAACAGAATCTAAGAATAGTAAAAATAATATACATTTTGAAACACTATAACCCACTTTCATTCTTGGCATCACCCTCATTTGCTAATACAAGCCTACTGTTGCTCATTTCTCTAATCCCTAGTATCTCCTTTTGAGCATGTGCTAGATGAGAAAAAGATGTGTAAATCTAGTGTGGTCAAATATTATGCTGCACTTGTAAATGTGAAGAAGAAATCTGGGATTACTTATGGATAATCTATTCTACATTATCATTTTTCCCATCATATAAATTATAGCTTTGACCACTGTACACAGCTCTAAAATAGATGATTCTATTCAGTCTTTAATAATAAGCCAATAGACAACTATTAACATTATGTGATTTGACTAAAGTAATATACCTAATCACTGGCATAAATAAAAAATCTCAATTGTTGAGTACACTACTTATTTCACACTAGTTATTCTAAAGATCTCCCTCTCATGGAGATTATTTTTTTTTGCTAAAGGAACCCTATCATGTTTGCCCAAGTGTACAGTATTTAAATGTTGTGTTCTTATTTTAATCATAATGACAAAGTTAATACAGTATTTATAATACTTCCAAAATCACTTTTCAAAACTTCAAGTTATCCTTTGAATGAGCCCAAATAAAGAATCTGAATCTACAGATCATTATAAATTCTATGTCAAGTGACATATCTCCTCCAAGAAAGTTTTTCATTTAATCTTAGCAATAATCCAAAATTTGGTAGTGCTCTGTAAGTAAAAGAACATAATTTCATTGACTTTTAATATTCTAAATTAATTCCCAACTCAAAATACAGTATTTTTAATATCCTCAATTCTCAAGTCTAAATAGATAGTATATCTAAAATATTTTAATTATGATCTACTTATCCAATTGTATCAGATTAGTCATAATTTCTAGCATCTAAGGATTTAATAACTGAGAGTTGACTGCATGTATACCACAACACATCCTTCTATCTTAACTTGAGCATCTTTATTTCATCTGGTTCCACTCATTCTTTGCTCATATTAATCCTCTCTTTTTTACATATCAATTCTTGCTATCAGGACAGGCTGGTAAGTGCTGAAATGAGCAACTAGAAGAAAAACTAGGTATGAATTCATTTACCCACTTCTAGTTACCTACTTCACTGGGTAAACTGATTATGCTAAATACATACATGGGATAGATTTCACATTTCTTTTCTGATTCTTCTGAGAAAAAAGAGAAAGTAGTAATATATTTAAGGTGTTAATAATTTAAGGATATTAACAATTGATGAACATTAGTATAAAATGCAAAGAAAAAGCTGAAATCTTTTGGATTCAAGTGAAAGTACTTTGATAAAAATTGAGAATTTAACAACACTGCCTCCCCCACATCCCCCAGGAGGGAGGTCTGGGATACTACAAAGACTTTAAATTCCAACAAAACTAATACAAAAGAAAAAAAATTAAGTCAGCAAATGTATAAACATATGACATTTTTAAACATTAGGTAGTTTACTAAGTGACTGACACAAAGCATCACTACTATCACCCTAAAGAGATGTTCTACTAAATCTAATGATATGCTTACAAGCAACAGAAAACAAAAAGACAAAAGTGCTATAATATTCACCATTAAAAGAATAGTGCATGTATCTCTAAAAAGAACAGCTTCTTGTTATCAAAGCAGCTGTGGTAACCCACATTCATTAGAAACTCACCTCCAAAAACCAAAAACTAGCATTCTCTAATACATAAAACAAGTACGCTGCCCCAAATTAAAGATATTATACATATGTCTTCTGGGGAAAATGTTCAAAATGCAACCAGTTACAAACTACAACAAAAAAATTGATACAGATACAAGAACTTTTGGGAAAAAATGTATATGTTAATATTACAGATAATAAACTAAAGTTTATCATTCTGACACAAATGAATTTTAAAAATATGAAAACTATTCAAACATATTAATATGTGCACATCTAACTCACATTAAAACTGAGACTATACCCTTTTTTTCTTCTCTTCAGCGCTTTTGCCAAAACTTCAGTGATGAGATATCATGATTCACAGGTTAATATGATGGCCTATAAACTTATCTTCCCACCTTTTATTTGTTCCCATACTATATATTGCTGTATCACAAATTTTTCCCCATAAAGAATTCCATTCTTCATTTTTCAACATCCCCTTTAATGTTTTATCTTCTCAATATGAACATCTTAGCCCATATCCAAATATTTCTCTCTCACTACTTTTTAATACAAGTGCTCTATTTGGGTTAGGTCAGTCTCCTCAGCCTCTCATCCAACAAATTGCCAAGAACCTAGTATGTGCCAGGCCTTGTGCTAAGTATTAAATACTAAGAAGGTAAGAATAAATTTTACATAGTCCCTGTCCTCACAGTATAAACACCTAAAATGGGGTGACAGAATCTATGAAATATATATCATCCAATAAAGCATAGAGATATTGCCACTTATCTATAAAAAAGACATTTAATAAAAATAAATGTTTACTAATATTTAATACATGAATTGGCATTGGTAGGTCCAATTGTCCAGGTATCAGATGTTTACCTACCACACAGGGCACCCATGGTATCATATGGGGAGAGCGGAGTGGCATAGTTCCAGAACAAAATCAAATAGATAGTTACACTTTTACTTGGTTGTTCCTTCTTAATATAATCAACATCTTGTGACATACTATGATTTATGAGAACTCAGATGAATGTTCACTTATCTAAATTTAACTAACAGTCAAAAATATAAAGGAGAAATTGCATGACTGCCCCAAGTAATAGGTGAAGACCTGACACATGGACCCAGTGGAGGTGTCAGTGCTAATCTATATGTTATACACTCATAAGCATTTATTCATAGTAAATATCATTCCTACAATGAACTGGCAGAATGAACATAACATCAGTGTGGGCACAAATAACAAAAACTGGCAATGTGAGTATCTTACTCAAAACACACAAAACTTACCAGTTAGTTACAATATGAAGTAAAACCATGGCAATGTAATGAGATGTGACAAGTCAGCCAAAAAAATTCATATATATCAGATCAGCTAAAATATAGATTTGCATTTACTTACTAACAATAAACCTCACAAGTAAACCTATACTGTGCTGAAATACTAGCTACTGTGAAGGTGAGGTTATTGTTACTAGCAAGTCATTGAAAAGCCAAATATCTTCAACGTGAAGACAAGCTGTAAAAATGGTAGCTGGGCTGAAAACTCTTAAGGGCCCAAACGATACTTCTTCGATTTGCATCTACCTGTTTTTGAGAAATGGTGTTTTACTTACCACATCTAAAAGTCAAGTATCGACATTAACTGAACATGGAATGAGACCTCTGACTCAATGAATCAAAAAGTATAAAATCA